TATTATGTACTGTATGACATTACGACCTAATTATGACTTTACAACTTTTAATTACGACTATCACTCAGATGCCGTAATATTATGACATCCACAAATATACAAATGATAAAGTCAATGATTAATTACTGGTGTTTTAAATCATATACACCCTCAAAGAGATAATAATGCAAAATGGGAATTGTACAATTTGTTTATTGTAGATTTAGGGCCACCATATTACATTGAACAATCGTAATTTCCATAAAAATTTTCATTGATATAAATAATAAATCAAGTTTTTTTTTGATTGTATGGTACAGTCCAATGAATAAAAAGATCCGACTTAGTCACCGACTATCTTCTATGTTGATCAGTGGCAAAACTTCAAAAAAAATTTCGTTATTTTTACTTTTATTCTTGATTTCCTGGGCTTACAACACTTGATCAATTAATTGTTTGATCATTATCTTCTGCCATTTTTGTTTAGCTTGCGCTGCATGAAGTTGCCTAGTTCATGGTGCATTTCTCGAGTATGCAGAATGACATGCAGAAGATTTATAATTAATTATTCGCTCCATCTTACAATTAAATTTAAATCTGTATTTCACTAAATTACTTCTGATTCATTATCACTTACATTAGTAAATGTTTTCTTTTCCTTTTGTAAGTGGCAGCATACTCTATACAAAAGAATGAATGAATGTAAATTGTTAATGGTTCTTCTTTATTAATCATTTATCATATACGTGTATACCATTGTCAAAATTCAGGCCTATATTAAAATTTTTAATTTATAAATAATTTGACCTTATTAGAATCATTGACAAAAAATTTAATTTATTATTAAATATGAATTTGACCCAGATGCAGCAGTAACTTATCTATGAAGTTTGCGAGGTCCTATCATAAACAGAAAATCATTTGCAGAAAATAAAAATCACGTGATAAATTATTTAAAAATAATTAAACGATGGCAAAATTTTATTATAATTAAAATTGTTTATAAAAATAGTGTATTTTCTGACTCTAGTACTAGTATTGCTAATGCTTTACAGCTGATAGCGTAAGCGGTAGATAATAAACTTTATATTCTTGTGTATAAACCAGTTCTAGGACTTATTTAATATCTCATTTAGATTTAGCCAACGATTTTAATATTAATAGGCTGATATAACACACTACAAACAGAATTCTTGTGGGAGTTTGTTGGATCAAACAAATTGATAAAATTTTATTTGGATATATTAATATCTAATATAGTTCCACTACTGAAACATCCATCTGGTTACACTACATAATGAATGTATGTTTGGGATACCTCCAAGATCAATTGGTGTTGGTTGTTCTCCACAGACCGTATAGAAAGTAGTCGTAGGAGAAATT